ATTCATCAGAGAGAGAGACTGCGATCCTGAGGGAGACTCTGCAGGCATGCGAGCGGAACTGAAAAGCACTGACAGTTGTAACAGTGAACTAAGCCACTTGAGCCGGGAAACCAAAACCCAGAGCCACAATATAGAGGATGTGATAAAGAGACGTTTAACAACTTATCCGAGCAGATGCGAAAACTTTTTACGGTCGTATTCTGGAATGGATCATTCAAGCAAAGGCATAAAAGAAAGTGTTAAAGGGGTAGGTCCTTTAAACATGTAAATTATGTCATCACTTAGGCTACACGCCCTCATTCCTTTCATTTTGTGCAACACAAGACATTATAAAATATCTCAATGACTTATAGTTTTCATATATAAAGTCATAGAGGCCCACTGACTTTCATTAAACGTACAAAAACATTCTTCAAAACAGATTTTGTCGTCTATACAACAAATGCATACTGGATTGAAAATGGATGATGACAACTGAATTTTCTGTGTTTAGGTGAACATAAACTGAAACAGGTTTTTTAAAATGTTTTTCAAAGACGTTTCTTATGCTCACAAATGCAGAATTTATTTGATTAAAAATACACTAAAAGCAGTAATATTGTGAAATATTACAATCTACACTGTATTTTAAGGTGTCGTAGTTACATGTTACTGCATACTTACTAGGGTATAAGGGTAAATTATGCATAATTACAAGTAACTGTAAAAAAAAAATCGTGATTTTAAATGGTAAAAATTATACAGAGCAAAACTGGTTAACAGAAATTTTCTGTATTATATACGGTAAATAATTTTACAGTAAAATACCGTTAAATTTACAGTTTTTGAAAGTTAACTCATTGTATAATTTACAGTGAGGAACCGTAAATTGACATTCCCACAATTCCCAATGTGACACTTCACATTATATGTATTTTGGTGAAATAACAATGGTTCCTCATAGTTTTTTTTTTTTCTAATCAGTTTTGTAGATTAGGGTTTTATGTTACATTTAATGTTGTTAAATTAATGATTATTGAATTTTCATGTGTGTTACCATGACGCTGTTTAATGTTTGTGTGAATGACACTGTGCAGCTTCTTTGTAAGTATTAAACTAATTATGGATGACTACTTGTGATAAGCTTTGATTGATCATGTGACTCATCTCTGCTGAGATGACTGATGGTTGTCAGTGTATTATAAAGGTACAAAACGGATATCAATTTATCAAAAGGTTATTAAATGAACATTTTATCAGAAATGTAATACGGTTTATTACTGTAAATTTTAAGTTAAGTCTGTAAAACCATTAACGTCCCTACCGTATTTTTAACGGTAAAGTTCTGGCAACCACAGCTGCCTTTTTTTACCATAAAAATTACGGTTTCATTTTTTACAGTGGAGCAAGTACAATGTAACATCACATTTCATATTTCAATATATTTTGAAATACTTTTTAGCATCATTACTCCAGTCTCCAGTGTCACATGATCCTTCAGAAATCATTGATTTGCTGCTCATTACTATTATCAGTGTTGAAAACAGCTGTGCTGCTTGATATTTTTGTGGAAATCACAATATATAACTGTGCTGAATATAAGTTGAATGGTAGTGTATGTATATAAAATGTACTGAATTGAGCTATTTGTGAAAAGAATCTAAATGACTCAGACCTGACACAATATTCACAAGGTACAAGATTTCAGTGAGAAGTGTGTGGCCTTGTATGAACGCATAAAAAATTCTGAAACATACAGTGATGTATCACCAAAGCAATGATGTATGGAGTGTAACACGCGCACACAGCAATGCTTATGCAAACCTACGCGGGTGAAAATTTATACATGCAGGAATAGTCATTTTCTTTTACTGTCCGAGATTTACTATGTTTTACGAGTGTGTGGCAAGGTCATGGTTACCCTTTCAAATGAAGTTCCCAATTCATTCATCAGCCATAGCCTGACCTATTCATCACCCAAGTACACAGGCATGCCACGCACATGTAGCGGCGGAAGAATTCAATTACTTCAAACAAGCAACACCTCATTTCATCAAAAGCCATTTTTGCGCTACTTAAGCGGCTCTGATGAAATCGCTCAGTACAGTTCTGTTTGGAATAGGTTTCCCCAAACATCAAATGCTTATGCAGCATAATGTAATCATCTCTCTGTATAAAATGCTGAATAGTACAGCTTTGCTGATTTATACATGTGTAGTTCAATACACTTGTGTGTTGAGCTTTGCAGACCAGTAAGCAGAATTGATGAAATGTTGGTGTAAATTGTGAGAAAGCGGTTTACTGCTGAGCAGGGATTCTGGATGTCTAAATGAGAGCCGCGCAAACATATTTTATAACCATGTTTTTAACCAAAGTATCTGAAGGGAGTCGTTTAAAAATTTAAGGAAACATAAAAAATGAAAAAAAATGTAGCTCTACGCTCTTAAAATTTAACAACAAAGATTTCTATACAAAATTGCTGGGTTGTTTTAACCCAACTTTGGGTTAAATGTGGACAAACCCATCCATTGGGTTAAATTTTTAAATTATATTTTTAACCCAACGTTTGGGTTTGTCCATACTTGACCCAAAGTTGGGATAAAACAACCCAGCATTTTTTTTAGAGTATGATAAGTGGAAGTGATAGATATTAGGAGTTCTAGGTAACCATCTCTTCTACATGTTTTATGCACAACACAACTCTTTAATTCTTGATATGCGATTTTATGGGCCATTTCTCTCCGAGTTCATGATCTTTGAAAAGGTAAAACTGGGCAAAAGGGACGGGCTAATCTTCAATTTATACACTCTAAAAAATGCTGGGTTGTTTTAACCCTATTTTGGGTAAAATATGGACAAACCCAGCCATTGGGTTACATTTTTAAATTACATTTTTAAAGCAATGGCTGGGTTTGTCCATATTTGACCCAAAATTGGGTTAAAACAACTCATCATTTTTTAGAGTGTACCCATAAGCTATAAATAGTGTGCTAGATTAGTTAGTACGGCAACAAAACTGAATATAATGTTTAAAAAAAAAAAATCCCCAAAAGAATAGCAGTCAAGTATCACCAAAGACAACTGATGAGTGAAACACACAGGAGTGTTAATGATGCTCAGTCTGAGGGAAATCAAGGGAAATTAGGGCAAGTGTTATTTTTTACACACTTGAGTCATTAGGTTGCTGTTTTTCTGCTTCACTGCACTGTATATCAATGGTTGAGAGTGTGACCTTGTGCCAAAAAAATGCAAGTGGCTTTAGATAAAAGTGTCTTCAGTAATAGAGTCTGGAAATGTAATATGTATTCGAAATGTTTTGGTACAAAAAGATTTCTCTGCAGAGTAAACATCATTGTAACTTTCAAGGCAGTCGCATCTGGGTTTGTATAGAAAGATTCGTTTCCGGATTTGAAAAGATAATATCAAATGTGTGTTTGACATTGTCCAAATGAGAATCTGGAGATGTGACTCACAGACACTGGCCTTGATAAATGTCTCGCATTAAAAAAAAGCAGGTGAGATTAATTTCTCTTCACGTTATAAAACGACCACATTAACATACTTTATTCAGGCTACGCCTTTGGTTTAAGTATCTAATGTTTAAGTCTGAGTAATAAACTTTGATCAGAGAAGTGGATCTTATTTAAAGCAAACACAAGAAATGCCACAAATTTTAACAGGGGGAAAAAACTGTTACAATAAAATACGGCAAATGTAAGTTGGCTTACAAAATATGATGTATTATAATATTAAAATCCAAAAATATGACAATGCAAAAAAATTAAAATATAGCAATTATTTATAACATTTTGTTTTCATTATGAATGTAATGAAAATGTTTTCTGGCTGTAATATAGGCTACATCTTGTAATAGACGGTTATAATTTTATCTATCTAAAAAATGCTAGGTTGTTTTAACCCAATTTTTGGTCAAATATGGACAAACTCAAACATCGGGTTAAAAATGTAATTTAAAAATGTAACCCAATGGCTGGGTTTGTCTATATTTGACCCAAAATTGGGTTAAAACAACCCAGCATTTTATCTATCTATCTATCTATCTATCTATCTATCTATCTATCTATCTATCTATCCATCTATCTATCTATCTATTCAAGTCGCTTGGTATATTAATATTATATCAGTTATCAAAATTTATGAACTGTAAAATATCCCGGCACCAAAAGGCCATACCATTCCAACAGATCTGCCAGTTTTTGTTTAATAAATGATTGTAAAATGGTGATTTTGATACATACTAGTGGTAAAGTATGTGTGTACAATAACATTAACTATTTCAATGCGTGTATTGCAAGCATGTGTACTCGAGGGCCACTCCCTGGACAAGTCTAAAGGGCAGAAGTATTTGCAGAACAAATAAGATATTAATACGCCGTTTAATTCACCCAAAAAGAGCATAAAGAACACCCCCCAGATGACAAAGTCAGTGTTCAAATGTTGGCTGAATGCTCACTGACCTTCCCCGTGCTCTGGGTTCAGAGAGGAAGAGCCACAGCTTTATCAGTAGTTAAATTAATGATCAATCCTTGAAAACTCCCTGACTCTGCAAGACTCCTCCTGGCTTTGCCTTTCTTCTCTCTTTATTCCTCATCTCAGATTCTTCCCCTCACTGCATAACACACACGCACACACACACACACACACACACACGCACACGTTCAGCAATTGCACAGGCATCCCAAACCTCTGACAGCCACAAAACTTGCTCCTTCCCATTATCCACGAGCCACATTTCCCTCGGTCCGTGTGCCAAAAAGCCAATGTCTCTGTTTTGTCTGCAGCACAAGCCAAGCCCAGAGCAGACGCAGGAAAAAGTTGAGCATCTTCTCAACCTCTCCTCGCAGGGTTTTAAGCACAGACAGAGGCTTCAACAGTAGCACACATCACCGTGGTTGTCAAAGATGAACATAATCAGCTATTGTGTCCGCGACAGACAGACCAGTGTGTGTGTGTGTGTGTGTGAGTGTGTGAAGGGTACCGCCGGAGATGTAAATCTCCTCTTACCTGCTGTTGAAGCTTAAAGCAGGAAGGAGGAACAGGAGGTAAACGGCTCCGATGAATTTCATTGCTTTGTCTTGCTCTCATGCACTCGGTGTCTCTTTGCCCCTTTTTCTCTCGATCGCTCGCTTTTCCCTTCTCCCTTTCTCTCTCCCTCTCCTCGCTGGCACGCTCACGCGTTCTCCTCTCTCTCTTTTTCTTTCTGTGGTGTGCACACACGCGTTAACGCAGGCACACGCGGCAGACAGATGCAACGCTGCAAGCGGTCTGTGAATGTGAAAGTGTGGGGCTCTTCGGCTTCAAATAGCAGGGACAGGGAGACGGACGGATTTATTAATGGACAGAAACTAGGGTGCCGGGGCGGGGGGGGGGGGGGGGGATCCGGAGAGGAAGACTGGAGAATGATTTGAGGTGGTGAGGTGATGTCAGCATCAATACAGCCAGTGGCTCCCCGTCTTTCTCTTCTGCGTTCCAGTGCGAGATGAATACCTGCTGGTTTGTCCCACATGATAGCCATCTGTCTTGGGACGGGGCAGGGCGGTTATCTAGGCTAGATGAGAGCAGGGTTGCTCCGCAAAGGCCAGATTAATCAATTTTCGTGGAGATTACACTTTGATGGCAGGGTTCATTAGTTTGACATTTTGTTCTCTGTTGTCCGTCAAAGTAATTGATGAGACATTTCCCTGCTCACCGGCTCATATTGTGAGATTAAGAGGGTAAACCGATGATGATAAATTTAATAGTCACACAAGTCACTCCGCTTTAGCTTTCTGCCGTGCTGCAGTTGATGTCTCCATTCGCCTTCTCAAAACGGGCGTTCAGATTCTGGACAGAAGGAAACAAAAGAAAGGTAGCCTATATGAAAATTTCAGCGTCAAACTAAATGATGAAATTATCAATCAAATCAATCAGCATGAGATGAAAATTCCCCCGATTTATTTTCTAAATGCATATTGTCTTATTGTGAACGATTCATCCATGCATATTTCATTTTTTATTTTTTTTAAATTGACATGAGGTACACCAGACTCCTCCAATCATTTAATCTGCTTAAACCCCACCCCTTTTTAATTTTCTTTCTAACAATTGACCTTTCGCCGGCCCCTCCCACAAAATGGCCATTGTCCAATCACACATCATAGCAACCGTTACTGTGTGAGCTGTTCCGTCAAACAGTAAGCGGTGCGCCCACGGCGTTAGTAAATCGGACACATGATACCCCGAGAGATTGTCTGGAGAAGTTGTGTTTTTTGCCTTTCCAAAGCCCAAAACACAACGCGAGCGGTGCCTAAGTTCACACTGCAGGCTGAAACGACCTAATTCCGATTTTTTTGCCCCTATGCGACCTGTATCTGATTTTTTCATGACAGTCTGAACGACACAGATCCGATCTTTTCAAATGCGACTCAGGCCACTTGGGTATGTGGTCTAAATCCGATATGTATCCGATCTTTTGAAATGCGACTTCAATCTGAACGGCCAGGTCACATATATCCGACCCGCACGTCATTGCAAGCACCTGTAGCCAGCCAATACACGCTAACTCCAATGCGTTTCCTCACTGTTATAGGCCACTGCAGACGTGTCTCTTCCCCAGTGTTGTGCCTGAACGCGTTCAATGAACGATAGTGCATGAACGCGTTCATATTTTCGCGTATCATATTATTCACGTTCGCCCGAAATAAACATACTGTATTACTGCCTGATGAACATTACTGTGAACACGTTCATTCTGGTGTATGTGAACGTGCGCTCTCTGTCAGTATAACTTTGTACAGTAGGGTGCCAGATATAGAGCCTTCTAAGCGAAAACCTGGCTAAAACACATGTGAACATGCCTTAAAATGTAGCAAATAACCACCCAATCTGGCAACACCGCGGCCGCCGGTGACAAAGCAAGGAGCGCCGCGGACACGCACTTTCAATTAAACGGGTTTTATGACGAGATCGGTGAGGATCGGAAAAATCTTACATTTATGTGCAAACTGCCCGTCGATAAAATAATTATTGTCTGTGTTTGTATATGGGCTGTGGCAATAATAATAATAAAACAAAAGCTCGCAACATATGAAAAAAAAAAAGAACTATTCTGCAAACAGCAAGTGACGTCTTGGACCGTTGATTACTCTTCTGCGCATGCGGGTCACTTCTGGGTCATTTCACGTTCACACAGGAGATCACAAAAGGTCGCATTTAATTGGAAATGTGAACGGCCTTGCAAAAAAAATCGCATTTTTTCAAAAAATCGGAATTGAGCATTAAGCCCTGCAGTGTGAACGTAGCCAAAGATGTATTAAACAGTGTGGACGCCCCAATCCCAGTTAAATGTGTCGAACATGGTTAACTCGTCTCGCGTGCAGCGTGCGTGCGACTGAGATTAGTCAAAGAAGAACGGAGAAAGCAGATCAAGAGGATCCACAAAGGACTTACTGTACATTTTCTAAAGGGTTGTTGTTAACATACCATGATATTCTCTGGGAAAATGAGCAGCAGTCAGCTAAGTTAGCAGTGTAGCACCGTAGACTACAGTTTAGAGGACGTTCGCAACGGGGAAAGCATGAAGCTTACATGACAACATCAGTTCATATATCAATATCGTAACGAATAGAAATAACCTTAAATAACGTATGGTTCTCTGCCTCTTTCCGTCTCTTATGCATTACGTTAGTTACTTTTTAAACACGAAAATCGCATTCAGCATGAGCATGACACGCAATCGGTTGCTGTGGTAATGAACAACCTGCTTGTTAAAGCGAACGTGCTACTCCTGTATCGGAGGCAAAATGAATAAATATGCAGCGCAAGTTATATATTTCGAACTCCAATTAGCCACTGAACCAGTTTATAAAATCTTCAAGGCTGTGCTGGTTGCATTTGAGGTAACTTAGCATGGTCATGGGGTTTTTCTGATTTTTCTTGAGACTGGTAAGCATTAGCATCAATAGTAGTCGTGTCTCATTCATTTCTTAATTTTATATTTGGAATAAATCCCTCCACCGCATACCGTAAACCCTTTTGCTTCGATCTTGCTTGATATCGCGGAGGTATTGCTCCAAAAAAGGTCACTGACACGCACGGGAATACCCTTTGCCGTCATGGCAATCTGTCGCGCTGCCCGTGTTTGACCATTTGTTTGACGGAGGTAGCAGCAGTAACTAAGGGGGGCGGGGCTCGGCGAAAGGCTAATTGACTGCAAGCAAAGTCCTTTTAGGCCAAGGAATCCATCGACCGGAAGTTGAAGCCTCGCGGGAGCTGCCATCTTGTAGCAGAACTTTACTTGCGTTAGCATTCCCATTGACTCCCATTCATTTTGGCATGCGAATAACTTTACATCTGAGACGTTTGAAGACCCCATTTGTCCTTTATTTATTTCTAAAGAAACACGACAATGCATAAAATGCTCCATTACCTTGTAGCTTATGTTATGGCGTCTCAATGGAGTTCCAATGAGATCGCTCTGTCCATTTCTTTTACCGTCTATGTTTTAGGCAAGTCCTGCCACTCGGCCGCCATCTTGGTAACGCCTCCGCCAGCTATTTCAGACTAACAAGACCAGGCTCCTATCTTAATGAATGGGCAGAGACTCAGAACTGCACTGTCACTGGTCACCGTGACATAAAAACTGCTTGTATAGAAACATTAATAAGGTATGATAAAAATTGCTGACTTTTCCCCAAAATAAGGTTTCAAATGTCTTTTCCCCTTTTACTGCGCATGCGCAAGGGTTCTCTCGCTCTCTATCGTGCGCGCTACTGCTCGCTCGCACCAGATACCGGGAGATTTTAACTAATTTGCGGGATCAGGGAACCGCTATCAATCTGCGGGAGACTCACGGAACTTCCAGGAGACTTGGGATGTCTAAAATTTACACAACTAACACATTTCAAATCTGCTGCCATTTCTGTCACTTTCGCAAAACCTCAACTGTGCGCATGCGTTGGTGGAACCAAACGATAGGCTTAAATGCTTTCCGGCTTGACTGTTAAAAGCAGACAATTGGCTTTCCAGCGGGAGGGGAAGGACATGTGCATACAACCGTCATCTTTAGTGTAGTTGCATTAAGGATTGAGGAAGTGGCATGTCTCTATATAAATAGTCTCTGCTGCAAGCAAATGATGAATAGAACCAATTCCAGACCTACATTACTTTTTACTGTAATCCGTTTCAATTGGATTTAGCCTACATCACAATTCGTAAAGAAATATCTGCCACTATTATCACAACTTTCTCTAAAAATTAAAAAAAAAGTTGATTTTACCATTAAAAACACGGTTTTGTTTGAGCACCCTGACCAGTCCGGCACAGTAATACTGTGATAACAACGTCCAAAGGCATGTTTCGGGTGGAAATCTGGTCGAATCATTCCGGTTGCCATTTTACAACATTGGACGTTTTCAAAACAATTTCACCCCAAGTGCACTGACGAGTGAGTTGAAACTCATTATAATATGCAAAACTGTTATCCACTCACAGCAGTGGGCGTTTACTTCCAAGTCTTCAGTGTCAGACGCCCATAAAAACCGTGAGTTTCTGAGCTAGGCTCAAAACTAGGGTAGAAAATAGCCTATTACTTATTCATTTTGATGTTTTTGAAAGCAAAAACCAAGCGAACGTCATAAGTTAACCACAGACAACAATATAACAAAATTTAAAAAGCCAGTTCATGACCCTTTAATATCACTTTTAGTGCATTACGGCACCCTTTCCTCACCATTGGCAGAATGTTTCGGCAATCCAATGCGGTAGGGGGCGCTATTATACATCTTCTGAAAGAGTACAGAATCTCCAGATCAAAACACAGGTGAAAAAGCATCGTGATGGCAAGTGATAGAAGCATTGGCCATTTCTCAAAACCAAGAATGCAAAGAACGGACTTGCTAGTTGTTCTTGGAAGAATGAACTCACAAGGTGACTAGCACACAAAACGCTGCTGACAGTTTGAGCGGATGTGTTCTTGCTGGTATTGCGCAATAATACCCCCAGCACAGACACCGTCTGCAGTGCCCAAACTTAACGAGAATTATGGAGATTCTCACTTCCGAAAACGTCTGAGATCATTTTCGATTCGCCATACATTTTCGTAAAAATGACAATATTTGAAATCTACAGTTGAAATAGTGTACGTAATTGTAGAAAAACGAACTACTGTATTGACCTGCCTCTCTTTCCTCGAATGCCGAATTGAATGCTGGGATATTTCTGCCGTCAAGTTCACACAAGTTACCAACTGATGCATCCACGGTAAAATGGGCATGCCAAGAACACATTAACCGTTCTTGCCAAAATGCAAACTTGTTTATTGGGACAGTACTTGGGACACAAAAGATGACGTTTCACAAGAACACAGATTGAGAAAGGCCAACACAACCATCAAACAACATATAAATCAAAACTGCCATAATGAAATGGTGAAACCATGAAGTACAGGACTGTGCAAGCTTTTGGCTATTTTGCTCATCGTTCTAAATCCATTCCACATTATAATCTTTAACAAAAATTCGATTTTCTCAGTTTTTTGTTAATGAAACGCCCAGTACCCACATTCAAGTGTTGATTAAAAAAATGCATGAAGATGGAATAAAACCAGAGGCTCTATTCTTTCTTTTCATTTATTGACTGTTCAGATATTAATACAACAAAATATTCTGGGGGCCATGAAAGTTTTGTGTAAATTATCAGAAATGCTGGTGCTGTATATGGAACAAGTTCACAAAACTTGCATTTTATTCACAAATTTTCGTTTTTTCTTCTGATGTGGAAAACTGACAGGTGTGCTGCAATTATTATAGTCTAACTTTGATAACTAGACTGCAGGGGCATTTTTT